TTTTTTTTTGATCAGTTTTTGTTCCCAATCCTCCGAAACACGATGATGATGATGATGATGATGATGATGACGATGCTGATGCCCGCAAGGGATGCAACTTGATTGTACAGATTTTTTTTTGGCGTTACCTACCATTAAGGATCTTTCCAGTAGTGATCTCCTGATTTCCGCCCGATAAATCCATGGAGAATCTCCAATGAACAACCGTTTGGATGATGTCCAATTAACAAACCATCAGCCAGAATCTACCATGATTTTGGGGATATATTGCCATATTTTCCCATATATTTTCTGAGATTTTCCAACATTTTCCAATATTTCCCATATGTTCCCATATTTTCCTATGTTTTCCTATGTTTTCCTATGTTTTCCACTAGATTTTGGATGATTTTGGCCCTGACTCAGGTGGATCTCATCCTGGTGGATCTCGGGTCGCGGTCGAATCCCGCGACCGCCGCGTTTCCTTCGGAACGGACGCGCCGGCGCCCCGATCGCCGGCGCCGAGATCGCCGTCGCGGGGCCGGCGCAGCCGCCGCTTGCTGCGGGAACGCTTGCATGGCTACAGCTGAGGCCGGTGCTGTGTTCTGGGATCATCAAGATGAAGATAGTTGAATATATAACTATATATATATGATTATATATGTATAATATTATCATATTGTTTGGCAATGTCATATTTTGTTTTTTTTGGCACACAAAATGTATCTGCATAAAAAGGTATCCGGAAAAGAGAGGGAAGTGCTTGTTTTGGTGTTTCGAGATCCAGAACACTGGCAACATGCCAATGATCGTAGTGCGCACTGAATGATGCTGAATGACAAAGAGAAAAACCGGAGCAGCTCCATATCATCACTCAGAGGACAAACTACCCTCTGGTTATGACTAACAGTTCGCCATGGACACCATGGCCCATAGAAATAGATGGTTTACCTCTTAAACATGGTGATTTTCCATGGCTATGTTAGTCATAACCAGATGGTAAATACACGTTACTTCCCCTATTTTGTTGGATCATTTCGGATCAATCAACCTGACTTGGGACGAAGACCAGAGGAGCCTTTGTCGTGGTGCCACACATGCCACCGGTTTCCACAAAATTGAAGAGGGAAGCTGCAAATTGCTGGCTGGAAGATGTTTCACATGGCATACACATTGAATTTGGACCATCTTGGATTTGCATCCCAGATATAAAACTGTACATGATATTTTTTGTCATATTATATAAGACATAGTAACCATGTCACTATGCAATTGATGGCTATAAGTTTGACACAAGTGGATGGCTATGGTCGATAGCACGCTGAAACCGCAGCTTGGTTCAAGCTTGGCACCTCCAGTAGCCCCAAGCCGCCACAGGAATCCGGGCCATCGTGGCCCCTTTGAAGGTGAAGCTGGGGGAAACCGTGGGAATTTAGGGATGAGAAGTTGCGATCTCTGCTAATCCTTACGTCCTTTTTTAATCGATGTTCCAAATGGAAAGCGTTCATCATCGTTCATCCATTTGCGTCCGATGTGATGAAACATATTCATATCAACCAACCACATTATTGCGGGATCATACTATATATTAATATATCATAATCCCATTTCCATGCGAAAAAAGTATCCCCAAGTGTCTTTTGGCGGCGCCAACGTTTTTTTGGTGACCCCTTTCCCAGCCGCCCCAACGGTGGGAGTGGGAGGAGATGCCGAGCGTGGGTTGCAGTACTTGCCCGAATTTGGCCCGTGGCAACCTTGGTGAGGTCGGTGAATTTATACAATTTCTACACAAAGATCAAGGAAAATGGGGTGATTTTAGGAACTAACCATGATTAACCAAGTGACTATTTGATCAACATTCCATGATGACATTTCACAGTGCCATTCCATGCTGGCCGTTCCAAGCACAGCATAGATATACCACTGCACTTTTTTTGCCATCACCTTTTTGGGAACGTGTCCCTGACATTGGAACGCAACGGTCTCCCACTGCTTATTGCACGCTGTTGGTTTCTGTGCAGCTGTTGGTTCACAGTCCTTAGGAATCCAGAACGTCGGAACAAAAATTTGGCGAAGTTTTAGCCCGCAAAGCCTCTGAGACCGAACCCCAACATCTATTGCGAAAGTTTGGACTTATCCAAAATTGGTTACCATGGGATCTATGGGAAACCTCATGGTTTGGGGTACCCATATTTTAGGACATCCCAAATTCAAAATTTCGATGGTTTATCATCATTAGATGCCCAATTGATCCATTGGATGGTATACCCCATTGTCAGACACAGCCATATTGCCCACGATTTCATCGATCTTTGCCGTGCCATGGCCCATGTGGTCCGTACACCGCTGGAAGCCAGGCAATGTAGAGATGAACTCGCCCTTGATCTGTACAAAATCTCCCAAAACCATATAAACCATGGTAAAACCACCAAGCCTGAACGAACTCTGACTTTTCATTGACTTTCTTTGGGTCGTCTGGCAACTTCCAGCAATTTTGAGTTCCCAATTTGGAAATACTAGCCTAGGGTGATCATGGGTGATCCGCATATTGGGATGGGTTGAAGCAGTTGAAGCCCCAAAAACTTCTTCCGTTCAAGTCCCTCGAGTCAGGCAACTTGCCTCGCGTCCGAAGAGTTTGTGAACGGAGGTATCAAAAGAAGCAGGCCTCCGATGTCCTGCTGAGGAAAATTTCAATGGAGTTTTCCATGGAGTTTTCCAGGACCAACCGGGTTGTTTTTTTGGAAAATCATGGATCGATATTCGCTGATTACCCTCTGGTAATTTGTTACATAGCTATTGAAAATGGCCATTTATAGTGGATTTACCCATTGAAAATGGTGATTTTCCATAGCTATGTTAAATTACCAAAGGGTACCTGAGTACAATCGCGATTTCATCGGGGCAGAAATCGCCATGTCTTTCTGAGCGTCTGCTCAGGGCGTAGACACCAAAAACTTGCCTTTCTTGGTGCACAGGACTGGCAGATTTGTTGCATCAGATTTGAAATCCATGGGTCCATGGGTGACGGGATGGGATTTCCAGTCTCGAGCACTATCCCACATCATATTAGAGGTACAAACATCCAGGATTTTCTACATCTGTCAAAAAACATGTTTTCAAAATCAAATCGCAGCGTGGACCACTGGATGATCTGGGACTGGTTTGGGAACGACTGGTAGGACTCCCTCGGGGAATTTACCCGTGTACGTGGAGCCAACACAGAAGGGTGAGAAGTTTACACGCATCCGAAGGCCTGGTGAAGCTGGTGGTGGACTGGGGTGACTTCCCCTTAAAATGACGTCATCTAAGCCATCTACAAAGAGATAGAACAGTGATTTATGCCTACTTTAGTGGGATTTCCGTTTTTTTAATCTTTTTTGGGGAAAACTGGATAATTATTAATTGTGTTGGATTAGTTTCGTTGGACGGGCTTGGGAACTGCGCGGTTTGTGCCCAACTGCACCACGGTGGAGGTCCGGGAGACACAGGGGGAACATGACTGGAGTTCATTGGGGCAACTTGAGTCCCTGCATTCATGAAGGCTTGTGAAAATAGGAGCATCATTGGTGAACAACCCAAAGCTTACGTCACATATATAAATATATATATATATATATGTCTATATAGAGTGGATTTGCTCAGTACTCGTACTCAGTGGTTCCAAGCATGTTTTTTCCAAATTACACAATATCTTTGGAATTGGCCAAGCACTAAACACCAGAGGTTGGCATCCCATAAGCTGCCGCGACAGGGTCTTTGGCGATGCACAACATTTGGCCAACGAGGCCTAAGGGATCCTCTTGATGCACTGGGAAAACCCGGTAGTAACATGTGGTAACCATGGTAACCTGCAATAGTTTGGCATGGAACATCACCGTTTTTGGTCTCGTCATGGGCCATAGCTTCCATAGCTATGTCTTGGAACATCTTGGAACCATGGGCAATAAGTCTCTGATTCTTGGGGAGACTCCCAATACCTTTTGGAGTCTCCAAAAGGACAAGTCTTATCTACTAGGGTCCTTCGCAAGTGCTATGATCACCCAAGCCAGCGGCTTTAGATTCCACAGAGCCCTCCAGTCCTCAAACATGGCAATGGGAAATCCACGGTTGTTGTTGGAATATCAACGAAACTGTTTTGAAATTGGGGATTTTCCGCGGTGTTTGATTTATGGAGAGTATAAAAAATATAGATCACTTAACTCAGCCATATGGGATCATATGGGTGGGCTTGTCTCCAAATATTGGAATTCCATTCCATACCATTGGACCATGGTCCCTAAGATCATTTTCGCTATTCATTGAGATGGTACCCACAGAAATTGACAAATTGAACCCATGTTGTTGGTGAGACATATCGCATGATATTCCCGGAAAATAGTATGTGTGTGTATATACGTATATATATATATATAAATGTATATATATATATACACAGGATTATATAGATAATTATAGATACTCTAGATCATAATAGATCTTCATTTTTATTGGCTAGATCACTTGAAGTGATTTTAATTGAATGATTCTGAAGCATAAACATATTCTATTGTAGAGTTAGATCTTCATATCTTGAGATGCTGAATTTCCCCCGTGTAAACGACAACAAAGCGGGTGGATCCTGCCCCCGTCCCACGGTCCGAACAAGGTGAGCCGGCTCTGCGAGAGTTCGGCGCGCGTGGGCAGAGGTGGGCGCAAGGCGGTGGAGGCCCAGAAGGGTGGCATCCACTCGGGTCCTTTTTTTTTTGGGAGGAGTTACAGTCATTTAACTGTTTAACTAGTGATTTTGAAGTGTTAACTGAACTAATTTAATTATATAGTGATATTGAAGTGTTAACTGTTCAACTATATAGTGATATTGAAGTGTCAACTGTTTTGGTTGGTGTCAACTGATGTTTTGACTGATATTTTGGACCTTGGGTCCAATATAAATTTTGATATATGTTGATCGTTTAAGCAACTAAAGTTCTTTTTTGGTGTCTCAAGTATTGGGATAGACAATGATGAATATGAATTGTTGGGAGTCACCATCGCCCCCTACCATCCTGGTGCCATGGTCAAGTTGGATTGGAAGCCATTGTTAGGATTCCCACTGTGGGATGAATGACCATACCCCGCCATGTTTTGACCTTGACAGAAATTGGGTTAAACATGGGGGTTGTCCACGGCAGCCCCGACTTGAACTGCAGGTCTTAGGGGTCCACGAGAAAAGGATCAAGGACTGCAGATGCGTCCAGTGTCCAGATGCCAGGGGCGAAATGCCACTTCATGCCCGAGTTTAATGATTCAAGTTGTCCTGCAACTGGGGTTGTAAGTAGAATAAGCACAACAAGCGGACTAGTTTAGGTGAATTTTATTGAAGCTTCATCCTACCAATTTCTCTTCGCCCAGTTGAGGCGCATCAATCGTGTAAATGGGCGCTGATCCAAACGTGCTTTCCATGGCAGCAATATGTTCCGCAAAGGGATTGCTCCATTCAGAAGGAACTTACTAACCGTCGATCCTGGCCACCACTTCAATGTCAAGCCCGGATACAAATGGGCAGAATTGCATGGCCCTTTTTTTGGGGATAATCCGAAGAAGTTGCCGCAAGGAGTGGCTTCAACATCTGGGTCTATGACAGGAGGACAGTGATGGCAGACGTTTTTCAGCGGCACCAAGGTCGGCTTGGAGTCAGAGTCCAACGTGGCGCGACTGCTTGGAGTAGCAGTCACACGCGGGAAATCCATGCTGAGTTCGATTGGGATCTGCCAATGGTTCGACTGGCTGAAGTGCAACTGTGCAGAAAAGGGGTGGGTGCAGACTGCTGCTGGAGATGACAACACCAGTTGAACCGGTAGTTCTTTTAATGAGATGCGCAAATTTCTTCTGTCCTTGCAGCAATTCCACCTCAAAGTATTCAGAGGGGGTTATCTTCTTTTAAAAGGACTAGCCAGACTAACATGCGTTTATGAAAGTCGGCAAAGTTGTTGTTTTTTGATTTCAAAATTTCTACACGTCTGGAAGTCAATGGATTGTTTAACATAAGTTGGCCTCATTTGGCCTCCATTGGTGGTTCTAGTAGAAATTCATAGAAATGATATGTGTGATGTTAGCATCCTGACCCTCATGAAATCCCTGTCCCTTTGCCCATGCATTGGCAGCGCAAAGGTCTCTTCCGATGCACTCTGCAGCCCGACCCTGCCGTGGTTGAAGCAGGGCTTCCAAGTGCATGTCGAGCTCTGCAAAGCCGTGGCATGGACGTGAAAGACATGCGATTTTCCGCCATTAAAATTCACTAAAGTTGGAAATTTGAGGACATGCAATTCCTTCCCCTTTTTTTGATGTCTATTTTTGGTATCCACCATTTTTGCTCAACCCACCTGAGCCTTGAATTGCCTAAAAAATCATAACGACCTCGCTGCGTCAGTTTGGGGTAACTGGATCCAACGATCCCATACTATCGGCCAAAAAATTGATCCTCATTTCATGTTGGTTTTCATTATTCACACTTATGAAATATCTGATAAATAAGGATAATTCACTTATTCATCCTATTTATCACTTATGAAATATCTATGATTATCTATGTATATCTGATAAAATTTTATCCATGATGCTATATCTATGATATTCATTTAAGTATTCCATGGTGATATAAACCAAGGTGGACCGAACAAAATCGGTTTTTTGCGTTGCGCTGCCCAGGTGGCCAATGCCATCTACGAGGGTGGCAAAGTCGATGGCGTCGCGGGCCTTGAAGTAGTCCCTCGACTCGCCAGTTGTTCGATGAGAAAAACATGGGGAGAACTCATGAGAAGTGGAACATTTTACCCTCTGGTAAACATACAAAAAACTATGGAAAGATCCAGCATTTTTCATGGGAGAATTCACTATTTCGACTGGGCCATGTTCAATAGCTATTTTGACATAACCAGAGGGTAGTTGTGATGATTCTATAAAAAATTGCTGGGAGATGAAGACGCTATTTTGACACAAAACGAGGGATCGATCCAAGGGATTTTCTTTCTGGGGAGTCATGCTGGAAATTCTGACATTTTGTTGGGAAACCACCTAGCGGCGAAATGTTTAAAGGATGTTCATTAAAATGGCGGTTCAAACATAGCCTCTGGTTATGACTAACATAGCCATGGTATAGATGGCCCTAATCGAACTAGATGCTTTACCTATGAATAGCATGGTGGATCTTTCCATGGCAAACTGTTAGTCATAACCAGATGGTACAATCTCAATGACACTCCAGAAACCTGGAAAACCTCGGTAGTTTTTAGGGCCCAAAAGCTGGCGGCTTTCAGGTGGCACACATCATACAGAACCGATGCAGTCGAGAACTCGGAGAACTCGGAGAACACAAAAAATGCCCACTGGAGAACAGGTTGAATTCGAGACGGTCAATTCATGTTCCCAGACGGTCTAGGTACTTGTCTTGTCTTGGTGACTGTTATGTGGGTCTTGTATGGTCTTGTTATGTCTAGGAACCAAACTTCACGAAGCGGGGCACAGTCAAGCGAGGTCACTCAGCCTTCCCAAGCGAGCCAAGAAGCGTTGTTCGTTCAGGCTTTTTTTGGGTCCATCGGCAAGCTGTTTAAGGGATGTGCCTGAGTCATTGGGAGGAATCCTGATGTTGGTGACATTGATTGCTTCAGAGGTTCAGATACTATTTGAATCTATTTGATCATATTTCAATATTTCGCTATTTCGCACTTTCTGAATATCTGAGCTCGTTTTTTCTATCTATGAGGAATCTTCAATGCTGATTTTCTACTTGGAATCCTCAGGAGAGAAATCCTCCAAGTGATGACCATCTTAGACCCACTACTTGGTGGCGAACTACCCACTGCTCGTAAGTGGGTTAGTTCACCCCAGTTATAAATGGGACTTTTGTAGGGTTAATCCACATCAATCACTGGGGTGAACTAACCCACTTACGAGCCGTGGGTAGTTCGCCACCAAGTAGCCATTGACTTTCTGGTGGCTCTGGAGCTTGGATAGCGATGAAAGCCATCGACTGGCGGCGATGGAACCATGAGCAAACACATTCCGAAGCCCCGAAAAGGGGAAATGGCGAAGGGGATACATCCACTGCCAGGACAGATGTATTTCAAGATATTTCAAGATTTTGATCAAAACCATTGACTGAAAACAAGTTGAAACTCAATTTTGAAGAGAACACTAGCTTCAGATCCAAGGACACATACAAACTCAGCATTTGTACAACTTTCCAGCCTTTCCATCTCTGGCTCATCATGGAGGCAGGGGTTAAACGGGGAAACCAACAGCTGCAGGTTCCAGTTTTACGTGACTTTGACATCAAAACATATTTAAACAAAAGACCTGAACTAACAAAGGCGACAAAACAGGATTCCCAAGTCGTTGTTTGTTTTTGTCGTGCAGAACATGATCCTGCATGGTTCTAGATTTAATTTTCTGGACTTACCCTCTGGTTATTTAACACAGCCATGGAAAATCACCATTTATAATAGGTAAACCATCTATAAATATTCCATTTTCCATGGCTATGTTAGTCATAACCAGAGGGTACCTTCCGGCAGAGATTTTCACATGGCATTGGGACAACCCATTTGGATCCATTTGGTGGATCATCGTCGCTGAATTCTACCCTGGGACGTATCCCATTCGACCCATTCCGAAGGTTTTGGAATGGGCGTATCAACCCATTCCCAGGATTTCCCACTGCTATTGTTTGGTGCCTGGTGGCTGTGTGTATTCAGGTTGCAACTTGGTTGAATACTTGAGTGATACTTTAGTGGTTGGCCTAAAAATCACGAAAGGTAGCGTCAGCTACCTGAGTTCTCCGTGCTTCAGCACAAGCTTAGGGGGTATTGGGGGGCCAGCCCACGGAATTCATGGAATTCTCGCCGTTATGTATTGGATATCAATTATAAGGGGGCCCCCCCCCCCGAAAATGGTCATGGGTTCAATTCCCACGGGTGACGCGGTCACGGGCCCCCACATTAGAGGCACACTTTCCATGAGGGAGATGTCCCTGTAGTCCAGCATAATTGGTATGCTTCTGCCTCAATAATAGTTGCTGCAAGGGGTCTTAAAAAGGGGTTTTAAATAAACCCCTTTTCGTGCATCATTTCACGCTGCACAAGACACCGTATCATGCAGTCATGCTCTGGATAAAATCATCTTAGACTGCGCAAAAACGTTTTTGGTGTATCATCTTAGGGGCGCAGCATTTTGACACCACTCCTCTCCCACTACACTACCTTTCGTCCGCCTCCGCCTGCTCTCAAGTAAGGCCAGACAGGGGGAAAAAATCATAGCCCACATATAAACATGTTCATTTTGTGCGGGATTCCTGAGAGTTACCGTGCAAACAGTATGGAACATGATAGCCAGCTAAAAGTATTCGTTTATTTGCAGGGCATTTAAGCCTGATTGAGATTGACCATGTTTGCCTGGTGGTTTCATATATATATATATAATAGATTAATTGTATTATATTATATTATACTATATTATATTAATTATATTACATTATATTATATTATATCATATTATATTCTATTATATTGTATATTGTATATTGTATATTATTATTATTATATATTATATGTGTATATGTATATTATTATACATTGTACATATATTATACATTATTATACTGTATACGTGTTTCAACTAAAACAACTATATTCAGGCTGATGATCCTTGGCTCAACCACCAAGCTCCAGGTGGACCCTGCAGAAACCTTGAGCCCTGACAGCCGCAGGTGGCGAAAAACATTAGACATTTCCCATGGAAATCAACGGTCATGGTGATTCAATGGACAATTTTTCATGGGTGAAATCATGGGAAAATGTCCATTGGGAATGGACATGGATCCTATGAGAATGGATTTTTTTCGACATGGACATGGAAATTCAGGGTTTTCGACATGGATCTTGGGTGATACGGAAACCTATAGATGAGGGATGAGGATCTGAGATTTTTTTTCGACGGCATCATAGGGATTGAAACCTATGATTTATGATTTTCCAACATTCCAATGGTGTCAAGTTTCCTATCTTTCCCCCCTTGTCCAATGGGATATGGATGATTATGGATGTGAAAATGGGGATTGAACCAACAAACATGGGTTGCAATGGGGATATATACATATATATATATATATATTTGTATAGTATATATATAGCACACAACCAACAATATCACATTTTTGGGGAATGAACATCCATTTGGGAGCTTTGTCATATTCACCAGGAGTACAGGGTGATCTTAAACCGAAAACATCATTCAAACCTGTGCTGTTTTGATGGTGGTTGATCACTTTTATATAATCCATTTCTGGAGGTGTAACACAATTATCTCCAAGTCTCAGATTCCATTGGTTGGTGTCAAAAACTTGTATCTTCGCGCCGGATTTGGTGAATCAACCTGAACAGAAGCAGAATCAAGCAGCACCTTGGAACAACACCAGGCAGAAGCGCAAGTCTGAACCTCCTCATGTTCAGCAGCCTGAGAGGAGGCTGGAAGACCATGTGGCTATGGCTTATCCTCTGGCTGGCCAATGCCGAAGTAAATGGGCGTTCAAATTAGGAGAATCTGTGAAGTAACCGGGGGAGTTTCCAGCAAAGCATGATTCATTAATATTAATGACATTTAATTACAAGAGGGTATCCAGTTGTCCCGCAGTGGTCCTTCCTATTGAAACAGGAAACATAATTTAACACAGTTTTTCGGATTATGTTGGTGGAACATTTGTCCAGCTTCACAATCTGAAACTCTTGCTGCTTGCATTGATTGCTGGCAGGATACAAGAGAGCTGGGAGTATCCCATGAGCAAAGAGGACGGTTTCCACCGCAGTACCGGACATGTTGGGAAGCTTGAACCAAGGTTGAATTCATGATGCTGCACCCTGGTTCGGGAATTGTGCTTTCAAGCACTTTCTTATTGACACCATATATCGCTTCCCAGTCAAGTGGGTCTTCCAAGAAATCTGTGGCTGAAGTGCCATCTGGCTTAACTTGGTCAGACTTCACTGTCTTGAGCCGTCTTGAGCTGAGTTTCGGCAAGGAAAAGAAAGACAGGGTTATTTTCCTCTTCGAGCAAGAGCTGTCGGAGGTTCCACTGTTGCACCCTGTCGCTAGTGTTTTGGTGGCTCACTCCCAAACTGGTTTTGTGTTTGTATTGAAAAACATCATCTTCGGATGATTCGATTCGAAGTTACTTCCCGCAATGGTGCCTGTGCACCATCAACGCAGACATAAATTTAGAGTCGCTTTAAAAAATGGAGCTCTCGCAGGGCAGTGAACGATCAGGTCATGGTTGTCTTATGTTGTCCTGTTGCCTTGCAAAACTTGAAAGGCCTCAAAGATGGACCCTTGGATGGTGTAGGAAAACTACAACCAGGTGGGTTTGAAACTGCTAGGCTCGCGAGGAGGAACAAGCAATGGATGTCGGGACCTAAACCAGAATGGAAAATTGGACGCAGGAGGCGACATCAAAACCACATGATGGACAGATTCAAATTGATGCATTGATATGGGTTTGCCTCAAAATTGAGGACATCCTAGAAATGATATTATTTACAAAATGGGCAACATTTTGATAAAGTCTGGGATAAACTGGGGTGCTGTTCCAAGTTCTGTTTTTGACCCCGGGGAAAATGGCTTGAACTTGGCCAAACGAGTGGACAATTTGTTGGTGCAATGGGAACATCATAGAACTAACTGGAGGATTTTCAAGCTGACCATCCATAGATCCCCATAGAACCAAGTGGTCATTCAGATGGGCTCAGCTGCATTGCAGAAACAGCTGAATCACGCGGAAACAGCGTTTGGCTTAAACCGTTGGTCGCAGGAATGTAGAACATCAGGGCAGGCATCAGCTGTCAGCTGACCAGGCCCGAAATTTCAAGCTCAGCGCCCTGAAAAACCTGGGTTGAGGCACACAAGATCATGTGTCCCAAAAAACAAGTCTGCGATTCAGAAACTACTGAAGACAACATCACAGCAAAACGGACAGCATGGCTTGGTAAATATGTAGCATTTTGATGCATTTTGGGGATTCATAACACCTCACTGAGATGGTGGTTAGATGTTGAACAAATGGTTTGAAGAAACTCAGGCCATGAAGCAGGTTCTGATCTGCAAAAAACCCTAGCAGCGCCATCTTCAGTTTGAGCTTAGCGCCATGGACAACGCGGAGAGTTTCGATCCAGAGCTTGAGGCATGGCATGGGCTCTCATGGAGGTTTTTTAAACCATACTGAACCGTTGAAGATGGATGCAAATGGCATGTGAAACACAGCAGTAGTAAAGATTCTTCTGCAGAAAAAAGATCAACAACGGTTCTTTTCGTGAAAAATCCATGAAACTCATCTCCAAAGAGGGGAAGGTTTCAGGTTGGGAACACATGCCTAAATCAGGGCCATCAGCTCTTGGTGGCCCACTTGGTTTACCTGTCGTCGCAGGCGGCCCTTGCCTTGTCTCGCGTGGATTTCTTTGGCGCTGCGGATGACGACTTGGCGCTGATCGCAGCGTTAGAGGCGTCTCAGGCGGATGTGAGGCAGGGAAGATTGGGGACTTTGCCAGGGATAGTGAAAGATGTTTGGGTAGCCACCCCTAATAGCAGATAGACATGAGAATCTTCACTGTTGGCGATGGAGTGATGGTCTTTTCGGGGATGACTCTAAAACATGGATAAACCATGGATAGACTATATATATATGTGTGTGCCATATTTTATCCTATTAACATATCTAGTTATTTTCAACATGTTATTCGCCAAACACTAATGTTGTTTAGACATGGCAAGTGGGGGATGATTGGATGAGTGGATCCACGACCTTTTTTGGAGATGTCACCATCACGGTGCGTTTTCTTTGGGATACAGTAACTATCCGCAGGCATGATTTGAGGTTGGTGAATTTCTATTTATTCATTATTTATCAAGAAAACTGGAGAGTTTACCAAGCAAAACATTGCAATGTTTTATGCGAATAGAACATGATCTAACATGATAGAACAGGATAAATCTGGATATTAGTTGATATTCACCAGTGAACATCCAGATTTATCCAGCTTCATACTTGATACTCGTATCACTTCTTTCAGATTGGAGGTTCCGAATCTATTGAACTCGCCACAAACTGGGATGAGGGTCATTGGGTTATAGCAACCAATAGATAGACCAGTTGGAAACCTGGAAATGATGGGCATCATTTTCTTACTGCCGTTCTGGAAATACTCTTCTATCTTTTGGGGCTTGCGGCTTGCTAGAATACTATAGAATACTAGTATCAGGGAAATCTATGAGTATCCCTCGCAATGGATAACATGGATCGGGGATGATTGGGGTTGTCAACCCCCAAAAATATCCTCGATGTCTCAGTCGCTATAATACCTCCAAGATATCCTGCAATGTTGTTGGTTGAATTGACTACCTGGACTTCCAGATTGTGTAAAACTATTACGAATATCTAATATTCAGAAATGACCATCCTCAAGTGTTCAACACTATTCAACAGTCCAATATCTATGAATATCTACATTATGACATTTGCAATATCCAGAAATTCGCATCCAGAAATTATCTATACATATCTATACCCACAAGTGTTGACATAGGATCCTTAAAGAATTTCGGGACCCAGGACGTCCGCTGACACAGACCTGGACCGCGCGCTTGAAGCTTCGCTGTCGCTTGGAAGCCACTGGATCATGTGAAAAAAATAAGATGAGTTAATATAGTTCAAGTGCTGGACATATATGCAGTTTCATGATATATATATATAATGATATATATATAATTATTTATGCATATAATGATGTATATAGATATGTTTGATGTCATGAGTTGGCTGGGCCGTTTGTCAATAGCTGTGGCCGAGCCAGTCAAGACCGGTTCCAGCGGTCCTTTATTGTTTCAGAGGAATGTGGACATGGGTCAAGGAGTACAACAAACACACTCTACATAGTATATCATACATATATATATATATACACGTAATATATAACTATATATATATATTATAACTATATATATATATATTATAACTATATATATATTATAACTATATATATATATATATTATAACTATATATATTATAACTATATATATATATATATTATAACTATATATATATATATTATAACTATATATATATATTATCTCTATATATATATATTAATTAGTTAATTAATTATATAACTATGTATGTCACAATCACACACTATTCCACACCCTATCCCGCATCCACTTCCCTTCATGGCTTCCCAATTGCCATCCCTTCAGCTTGCCAGGTTTGCCTCCGCCCTAAGCGGAGACGAGGATCCCAAAGAGGTGGAAGAGGCGTTGATAGCCTCGCGGCAGGCGGGGCCTGGGCTGGTAGAAGGTGGCAAGGTGTGATTTTGGTCGGAGGTTTTCTTTTTTGAACATAACCATCAAAAGATTTGGAGGTTTTCTCACCATATTTTGATTCTTCACCATTTTTTTGAACATCTACTTTTTTAAGACTTCGAATATGGTGAGATGAGAGGGAAATGCAGCTATGAAGTTATGAAGATGTGAATGAGAAATATCAACTTACAAAACCAACAAGACACTCGATTCAACAATCCCATGGGGATCTATCAAATCACAATGAAAAGGCTTTTTTGCCCTTTTAAAAGGGCATGCGGTCCAACTTTAAGCAGCAAACACGAAACTTTGAACCGCAAACACCCAAATCATGTGATACAAGCAGTTGGTTGACATTTGATATTTTTTAGGCTCGTCAGTAGGGCAGGGTTTAATTTCATGGATGAAGCAACAACGCATTGAGTGTTTGGGATGAGTGACTTAAGCAACCAACAAGAAGTGGGATATTAACATGCCAAACTGTGCGTCCAAGAATTGGAGGGGCACGAAGCAGTATTGGTCTACTCCAATGTTGAATTTGATCGATCCTCTATTTCTAGGAGATCCTAATTTTTTGAGGAGACAGGGTGTTGCTAAGGGTCCTCTCAAGCTGATTGACAGATGGGTTGCCCTCATTGCCCGCCCAGCTGCCCCAGCCAGCAACTGCCAGGAACACCAGAAAGATGCCAAGAAGAGGGACTTGATCAGAAAACAGGAGAGAGATGAATTTTAAAGCTCCTTGAAGATTTTTACCAGTATTCCCCGATGATTCTTTATTCTCCATTCTTGCTCAATTCTTTCCCAATATTCATATTCCCAAATTTTCCCAATCTCCCCAATATTTCCCAATTTGCCGTTGCTTCTGAAGCGCAAGGAGGATGGGTCCGACCTATTTCAGGCCTGGTCCAGAAACACCGGCCACGATGGACAGCTGAAACGCAGCACTGATATCATATACCAGTAGTACCGCACAAGGCGGTGGCGGAAGTTTCAAAAATGGGAAACCTATAGGAGAGGTTGGTTCTTGTGAATCACGGATGGCAGAGCCAATCCACTGATAGACTGAAGGGTGGTTGGAGTTGTGTTTTTTGGAGTGGTTACAATGGTTGCAGTGATCACCTGGTCGGTCACCTCACCCACAACTGCTGGATGTAGTGTGGTGTAGTGCAGCTGTAGTTGTACTTGTAGTGTGGCGGAGTTGTAGTTGTGGTGCAGTGTAGTTGCAGTTGCATTTGTGGTGGTGTAATGAGTGTAGTGTGATGTAATGTGGGGTAGTGTGGTGTAGTCTAGTGTGGTGTAGTGTAAAGTCGCGTAGTTATAGTTGTAGCTGTAGTTGTAGTTGTGGTGTAGTTGTGGTGTAGTTGTGGTGTAGTGTAGTGTAGTGTAGTGTAGTGGAGTGGAGTGGAGTGGAGTGGAGTGGAGTGGAGTGGAGTGGAGTGGAGCGGTGGTTGTAGTTGAAACTGGCACCAAAACCATTTTGACAAGGTGCAGAATCCCCTGCGCCCGGCTCCGATCCCATCAGTTTTTTCACCAACAGCAAAACTTTGCTATGGGGTCTTCAGCCCAGATTAGCTCCGGTGCGATCCGGTGCAGCTTCAACACCAGGTTCCGGAGGTTCTGGCGCAGATGTTCCGGAGGGTTCTGGTGCAGATACTTCGTGAAAGGGTTCCTGTGAAGATACCTGCTGAGGCTCCGGAGGGTTCTGTGCGGTTCCGGAGGGTTCCGGTGCAGATACCTTGTGATTTCCGGTGCAGGTACTTGGTGAGGTTCCGGAGGGTTACGGTGCGGATACTTGGTTAGGTTCTAGAGGGTTTTGGCGCAGGTACCTGATGAAGTTCTGGAGGGTCTATAGGTGAAGATGCGTGGTGAGGTTCCGGAGGGTTCCGGGGCAGATACCTTGGGAGGTTTCCGGTGTAGCTACCTGATGAGGTTCCGGAGGGTCTAGGTGAAGATGTGTGGTGAGGTTCCGGAGGGTTCCGGGGCAGATAGCTTGTGAGGTTCCGGAAGGTTCCGGTCCAGAGACCTTGTGAGGTTCCGGAGGGTTTTGGCGGAGAAGATGCTTGGTGAGGTTCCGGAGGGTTCCGGTGCAGATACCTTGTGAGGTTCCGGAGGGATCTGGTGCAGATGCTTTGTGAAATTCCAAAGGGCTCCGGGCTCCGGTGTTTTTTTATGGCATAAGCACTTAATTTTTATGGCATACGCGTTTTATTTTTTATGGCATAAGCCACTTTTGATGGCAAAATTGCAGAAGCTTTCAAATTCAAGCTGTTGGGAATAGCACCTGAGTTTATTGCACTTTTGACTTGGAAATGTGCTTCGCGCCACAACTGCCTGCACTTTTTCGACATGTCAACTAGGTTTTGACTTCCAAATGGTCTTCGCGCCACACCGCGTGCACTTTGTCGACATCCCAACTTCCAAAAGTGCTCCAAACGTGAGGTGTCTTTAGCTTTTTCACTTGCAAATGTGCTTCGCGCCACATCGGCCATCTCTCATCTGGCCAGATGGCTCCGCACCCGCCGCTTTAGCGAGCCTACTTTTCGACCCTCAAATCCTTGGAAAAACACAGTGAATCGCGACTTTCCTACCTTTTCGCGCGCCTACATTTTCTTTCTTCTCACTCTTTCTCTTCTCTAATCTTCTCTCTTCTGCTCTTCTCCTCTCTGACTGTGACTCTTCCCACCTCTGCTTTTCCATCTGCCCATATCGTCGGAAGTTTGACTTCTAAACTTCCTTCGATAAGCACACATAGATATATCAGCTAGTATCTATTATTAAGGACCAAAGAATCATCTTATTCTCCAAGTGTTGAGAAGTTGATGCCCTGCTCATAGGGGATGGGTCAAAACCTAGTAACGACGATTCACAGCTTTCTTTTAGGCGGCCCTGCGTGCCAGTCGCGTCGACCTGGGGCCGCGCGGCATTTCCCAAGTTGCAAAGATTATGGCGACTGGCGATCCGAATTTAGGCAGCTTGGCGTGCCAAGATTCTTCCAAATCACACTCTTCTAGCAAAGTCTGCCGCAGAGAATTACAACATATGAATATATATTGTAGATAGCACATCCCGAAAAAAGGAGAGGTTTCTGAACATAGCCTGCATGTGATCATCCTACTATCATCCAAACACTATCGGATGCATCTTGGAGGA